ACAATTTTTGTCCGGTTTGCTGAAACTATACTTGAATATAGATTTGAAATATCATCACGAGTGCAAATCGTTTCTAGGTAAAACACTCAACATCACGGTTTACATATCACCACCATTTTTTATGCAATCAGCATTTCCTAATATTCAAGGAAAGTATTTATATGAAGGATATATCCACGAGTTACTTTTGTTATTGAAAGATAAAATGGAATTCAATTACAGTTATTTAGTGGCATCAAACGAGACCAGTTATGACGAATTAATCGAATGTGTTGAGAATCGTAAGTGTGAGATAGTCATGGCTGATCTAGCTGAAACTGCAACTCGCCTAGCTAAAGTCGATTTTAGTACCTCGATTTATGACAATGCGCTGCGCCTAGTTGTGCGTAAGAGTAAGCACAAAACGATCAGTCCAATTGCATTCTTGAAACCATTCTCAACGTGGCTCTGGTTAGGAATCATTTTTCTTATATATATTCTATCAGTAATACTCATTGGACTCTATGAATATCAGGAGGAGAGAAATGGTATTGAAAGTAGTTCGTTAATGAGAATACTCGGTAGATCCCTGTATCATACTATTGGTGCTCTGGTACAAAGAGGTTCTGAATTACAAGTAAAAACTCTGTTCGCTCGTATTCAAACGGTTACTGTCTGGCTTATGAGTGTTGTAATAGTCGCATTACTTACTAGTAATTTGACAATTTATTTTACTGCACAACGTGAACAACCATGGCTAAAAAGTATCGATGATCTAAACATGTGTCAAAAAGTAGATTGTAAGCGTATAGGAGTTGTAGAACGTTCACAGCACGAAGAATACTTTACGAAGGAAGTCACACATAGTATTGAGATGAATTATCATCGTTTGAAGCATCCAACAGAATGCTTTACTAAGCTCTTAGATGGACATATTGATGTGTCTCTAGCGGAAAGTTCGAGTGCAGAGTATTATACTCAAACAGAATATTGTCAACTAGAATTAGTTGGTGAACCATTCGGCAAGACACATTTTGCCGTGGCTTTACCGAAATACTGGCCTTATAAGCAAGATTTGGATACGCATATATTGGAATTGAGAACAAATGGTGAGATTGACCGACGATTAGCAACATACTTTCAACAGAGAAACTGCGATGTGATAAATGAAAATCAGCCAAATATTGAGGATGGTGGACTAACAATATTTCAGACTAGTGGACTATTTATCATATTCGGTGTACTCACTGGTCTCAATTTCATGTGCTATGTAATGAATAGGGTTGGTATATTTTCCAGTATCGCACTTTCCGTTCAAAAAATTCGTGGATATTATGGCTCCGAATCTATCACAGTGGACCCTGAACGAGTAGCGAATCCCACTGAACTGGTAAAAACTAATCTGTAGATAAAAATATACATTACTATCGACATTGATGAAATTTTCATATTATATTGTAGCTCGTTATTGTTAATGGCTTCTCTTCTCTAAATATTTGTGCTGGGAATAAAATACAAGATAACCTCGAAAACAATACTAGTGTGCCATATTGTAGCACAAATTTGGGGTGTGGGTTTGGGTGTTCATAAGAGAAACAGCTACACACACACACACACACTCACACACCATTCTAGTGATAATGTTATTACTCCACATCAATTCAATCTCAAAATAATGTACTGTTTTCTGTCAACAGTGTACAGAGGTCCGAAAGTGAAGATTTATCTATAAAAACAAACGTACTCTTATACATCAGCAAATTTTTTCAAAAATTTCGACACATATACCTACAGATATTGTTTACTATTTTTTCCTTGAAAATTATGAGTTAGAAATGAGGGGGTTTTAGATGTGGGGCTGCTGTTTTGGAATATCACTTGAATCTGTAGATTTAAGAAGCAGGAGTTTATAATCATTTTAATAGTTTATGCTTCAATTGCTTTTTTGAAAAAATAAGCCCAAGCAGAAGCCAGCATATCCGTTTTAAACTACGATTCTACATGAAATCTTCCCTAATTTTTCAATAACTATAACTAAATTGAACTGGCTGCTGCTGATTTCAAAGCTCATTATTCAACCTTATGCGTACTGTTCCAGCAAAAAACGAGAATAGATCTTTATCCATATCTTACATGATTCTTACACAACTGGCGATGATGGTTGACCTTTAATATAGCTACCCCCTAAAATCGCATTTAGTCAAAGCATGAATATATATTTTTTGCAAATACTTGACGAATATTCGTTGATCATAGACGCCCTAATTTATAAATAAATAGTTTTATTTATACACAAAAAATAGCAGTAATTCATTCACGTCTAGCGGGAAAAAATCGATTTTATCAAATTATTATAAATGATTAACAAGACAAATTTTCGTTTCTAAGTATATTTTGATATGAAATATCTTGACGCAATTCACATGCTTTCGGACGTTCGTGTGGCGAATGAGCTAATAGCCATCGAATTAAGCGACACTTCAATAAAAATAAACACAATATTTAGATGAAAACTATGATGAGCTTACAATTAATTGGTTGCGTTCAAAATCATTTGGAAATACCGGTGTTTGAAGACGAATATTTTTCAATGTTCGTATTCGTTCCATTTGAGTAGAAAATGGACATAGAAGTTCAAATAAAATGATGCCGACAGCATAAATGTCTACTTTTTGATTGTATGATTGCCGGTTGATCTGCTCCGGACTCATGTAAAGTACCGTACCGCCAAGTTCGTTATTTTCGGTTTGATCAATTTTTTCTTCGCCAAAAGCTGATACAAGACCAAAATCACCAATTTTTACGGTATTATCCATAGAAAAAAGAATATTCGATGGTTTCAAATCTCGATGAATTAATTTTTGCAAATGAATATATTCAATACCATTGATTATTTGATCGAAAATTAGCCAAGCTTCAGATTGAGTAATAGTTTGCTTCATTAATCGATTGCGTAATGACTCGGTTTGACATAATTCCATAACAAAATAAAAATAAGTGATAGGACAATCAGAAGTTGATTTTTCACTAGAAGATTCTGATTGATTGAGTACGATTTGATCGTGATTATCTTCTGAATGTTCGAATAACGATGAATTACTTTCGTCGTGTGTTAGCGATTGATTTAATGAACGTTCAAATGTAAAATCAATTAATGGTGAAATATACGAAATAGAAGGAGATTTTCGTTTTTGTAATTGAATAGATGATGAAAACAGACTTAAAGAATCTCTATTCAGCAAAGAAAATTGAAGAAAATCATTCGATAGGAAACAATCATACTTAGTTAGTTCATTGTTTGTCGCCACTAAATTCCCATCTTTTTCTTCCTGCCATCCACTAGGTGGGCATTCATGCCAAGCATAATAATATTGTATTAGATTCGGATGATTCAATACAGCTAAACATCGAATTTCTTTCAGTGCTCGTTCTTTACTTGATGACCTTAACACACAAAAAAAAGCAAAGGATTCTACTCATTTTGAACATAATCTTTCAAAGGAAAACTTACTTTTTCAAGGACACTCTTTTTATTGCTACACGTCGTTGATCTAATTTATTGATCGATTCAAATACAACACCAAACCCGCCACGTCCAAGAAATCGAACATGTTCATATTCAAGTGTATACCTATATAAAAAGACATTTTCATCAATCTAGGAACCTTTGCGTAGGTGTCGCATAGCTCATCAAACAATATATTGGCGACACTTTTTCAAATTAATTTCATCGGAATAAATACTGAAAAAATCATAATGGTCTGATTCTTACCGAGATTGAAATGATGATGTTAAGGACGGCTGAGATAATTCATGTTCAAAAAGAATAGTCTTATTCTCTGATATTATCGATTGTTGATGTTGAATATCGACTTGTGTTCGTTTGGAAAACAGTATCAGTATAACAATTAAAGTGCAGAGACAAACGCTTGACACAATCAATATATTCGTCGACAATATGCCAGTTGATTTTATGTTTACATCGACTGTGCTTTCATGCGGATTCGACAATGCTAAATATCCAATCGGATCCCAAGATTGATCTTGTCGTATTGCTAATGGATAATTATGATCGTTTGTTGAATGTTTGTTATTAGTTTTTGATAATTCATAATCGATTGATAGACGATGTTTTATATTTGCTTTATGAGCAAAAGAAAGTACTGACCTCTTGATATTTGCTGAGCTAACATCTACAATAAAAGAAAATCTTTTACAAGAAAGTTAAGAAAATCGAATTAACCATTCGTTTTTCTTGCATTATGAATTAATTGACGTTGAGTACGAGATGAAATGATTAAATATGGCATGGAATTGAATTTTCCCATGAAAGCAAGTTCATGTGATAATTTCGTTTTTAACAATGATTTTTCTTTTAATTGACCATTCTTTAATTCCCATACAGCAGCAATTGGCTTATTTATTGATGACGTCCATAGAAGATCATTACTAGAATCGAATGCTAATACTAAACCAGTTTGTAATTGATATTCGAAATGAACTTTAAAAGTAAAAATGAAGAAAAAAATTATTGAATAGATTTATTTACTAGGCTGTTCACTATGATTATCGGTTTGTTCAAGAATTTCGTCGGACGATGGAACATATATCTGAATTAATTCATGATTTGAAACACTAAATCAATAAGCAAGAGAAAAATAAGTTCGGTATGAAATAATGTTTAAAATATCCTAATTACCTGAAATTCCATTTTTCATTTCCACTTCGCATGCATCGTGCGCGAACTGTTTGTTTTATACGTTTTATAATAAGCATCGATGTAGGACATGTACCACTATCGGATGTTGTCGGAGTTCCAGCGTCTTTTGAAAATGAATAAATAGTCTAGAAAAAAGGCAAAATTCTTTGCAAATATCATTATGATTGTCTCTCTTGCTTTTCCTGTCTGTAGATCGAGACCAATTGTATCAACAGATTTTCCACCTGTCATAACTAGTTCATCTTGAATTTGAAATGATGTATTCAGTAAAGACTCAGCATCGAATGGTAATGGTTCCATATTTTCATTATCATCATATAGCCTATAAAGTCCGCCAACAAGTGATGGCACTAGACGAGTTGATTTTGAATCACGCAATATTTCAATTTTACTAATAGTCGAATCTACTAGTGGTGAACCCGTATCAACAATCCATACTTGGCGACCTTTTTGACGTATATCAATCGCTGTTATTTTACCATCCAATGAAATAACATATATTACATGACTAGAAAAATTAACATTTAATGATGCTTTTAATTCATCCTAATCAGAGAAAAGCTTTCTACAGACTGAGAGGATTTCCTATCAGGAGAGACAATTGCCGCATTGCAAACTAGTAGCATGTTCGGATGAAAACTATCTCCGAAATAATCTATCTAAGTGAACATCATGAAATGCACTGAAACTAATTACATTCAATCAACGACAATTTACAAAGTATAAATAGTAGATAACCTTAACAAACAAACAAAAAATGGAATATACACAATAGTGACATGTTAGATCTTATAGATTGCGTTCATTCGCTTTTAGGATCATTGACTGTATGGTACTTTTTTAGAGAAAGAAATTTTACACTCTATTTACTTGAAATTCTTTTTCGACGAGAAACTTGATATCGGTTGAACATCGTGAGGATCAAACAAAGCCATTGTTTTATCGAGATTTTCATTTTGCTGACGATTATAATTTATCTTATTTTGAAGTGGCGAAATATACAGATAAGATAATAACAATAAAACAACTGCCAATGATAAAAACAAAATCCAACATAACCATCGAAAGGAAAAAATCGATTTTAAAAATAAATTAACATTAGACTCGTAAATAGATTTATACATGACATCTACGAAAATAATGGAAGATTGATACCTTACGAAAGTTTTCGTCTTCCTCCAGCTGTATTTTATGACAGCAAAGCGATGCAGTACTTATAAAACATGGATTTAAAGGACAACCAGTTGCACATTTTTACACACCTATCTTTACGGATTCTAGCGACACATCGAGGACAATCGCGTAATCGTAGTCTATTGATTTTTTTCATACACCAGAAAATGAAAATTCTATTCAATCACTTATCATAGAAGATCTTGTGTATAAAATTAAATCAATTCTAGACAATTGTCTGATGAATGGTTCTGTTTCTTTTTTTTG